GCTATTTATCGCAGGAGGTAGGAATGGGACAAAGTTCTCTTCCGCGATGGTACTTTGACTCGACTTCATCCCGTTGCACTTCTTTCGAGTACCGGGGGACAAAAGGCAATGAAAACAACTTTCTTACTCGTGACGACTGCATACGACAGTGCCCGGGTATGATTCCAGTTATGCCAGTTTCCTTCGTTTAATGTGATGAACTTTTGTAGAAATTGACAACCCATGCCCGATAGGTAGTCCTGCCTATGATTATAATTCTCAGGAAGTGCTTCACTGCAGCACCATCAATCCAAGGTGTCCACCAGAGAACTGGTGCCACTATGGATCGAAACGAGAGACAACAGTGTGCTGCCCTTCAGGTGCGTGCTTCTTTCAATATAGATATGCCTAAAATATAACATTGCGTTTGCTTAGCTGCTACTGATCCGTGTCTCATACCAAAACTCGAGGGTACAGGCGCGGAGGTTCTGCAACGGTATTATTTTGACACTCGTTCGAGAGTGTGCAAACTAATGATCTACACCGGCAGAGGTGGCAATCAGAATAACTTTCTACACGTCGAGGACTGCGAAGTCGCTTGTCCAGGTTAGGACGTACATCGTGCAATCCTGTGTAGTGAATTAATGAACTCTGCAAATTTCAGTCATTCACAACCCGTGTCCTTACGAATTGCCTGCCATGAAAACCGTCGATGAACCGATCTTCTGTAGTAACTCGAACCGCAACATCTGCCCTCCAAAATACTGGTGTCACTTCGGGGCAACTTTCGAACAGAGCCTTTGCTGCCTAGGGAGTAAGTTGCCTCATAAATAGTATATTACAGCTACTTCGGCATAATTTGTTTCTAGCGGAGGCGGATCGTTGTCGTCTGCCGGCCGCTCAAGGAAACGGAAAGGCGGTACTACCTAGGTTTTACTTCAATGCCGACATGAAAAAATGCGTCCACTTCATGTACTCCGGAACGAAAGGAAACCAGAACAATTTTCTGACGTTGGAGGACTGCCGAAGTGCATGCCACGAATTCCGAAATCCATGCAGAACCGGCAATCCACACGTCGGACTGAATGGTCGCCTCACGCATTGCGGTTCCACTTCGCCTTCTATCTGTCCGGTCACCTACTGGTGCCATATCGGTGCCACTCTCGAAAGCTCAGTTTGCTGCCCGGAGGGTAAGATCCGTGTAACCGGCCGAAATCCCCTGACAAATAATCCTTAGCTTCCAACGTCTGTCAGTCGCCACTCGAACAAGGCAATGGGCAAGCGAGCCTTCTTAGATATTACTACAACAGCGAGGTGCAGACATGTCAGAGCTTCTTTTACACTGGATACG